CTCCTGGCCACCACAGCCTCGACCTGCTGGGCTCCGGCAATCCTTCCACCTCAGCCTTCCAAGTAGCTGGAACTACAGTCGTGCACTATGACGCCTGGCTAGTTTTTGATTTATTGTAGAGATAAGGTCTTGCCAAGTTGCCCAGGTGGGTCTCGAACCCACGGGCTCAGGCATTCCATTCACCTCGGCCTCTCAAAGTGCGGGATTACAGGCTGAGCCACCAAGCCCAGCAAGATTTATTCTTTTATTACAAGAGAATTGTTGGAATAAGGAAAAACAAACCTTTCTAAAGACATTTGCTAGTAACAAGGAAATTCTGAGTTATGAAATGTCCTAGTTTTTTTGTTAATAGCAAAATTGGAGATACTTAATTTCTTTTAAAAAAATGTTATTTTGCATACTTACAGCAGGTGGAAAGATTAAGAGTGCTAATGTATTCAAAGTCCTGAATGAAATTCGTGTCAGACCACCTTGTGCTATTTTAGCCTAATGAAATATCTTTTTTTCAAACCTTTAGATTCTTGTAAGTGCCACCTTTTTTTAGGTTCAGAATTTAAATAAGTTCCAAAAGAGCTAATTGTGGATTGTATAATAATGTTCCAAAAAACTATTCTGAGTAGTTTTCAGTTTGCTAAGTCTGGTTGGAGGAATCATAATTTAGTTCCTAAACTTATGATTTAGTCCCAAGTGAAAGTGAAGGACTAGTAGAAAATTGAGAAAATTTGATGTTTATGTTACTGCATAAAGGAAAGAATCATTTTCCTTCTTTATCCTCATAAGAAATTTTGGGGATTAAGCCATTTGGGGTAGTAGGGAGCAAGTGAATCCAAATACTAGAGCCTTCTAAAACATAACATATAGTACAATAAATAAAAAAAATTAGCCGGCATGGTGGTGTATGTCTGAATTCCAGCTATTTGAAAGGTTGAGGCGGAAGGATCTCCTGAGCCCAGCAGATCAAGGCTGTGGTGGCCATGAGTGTGCCACTATCCTCCAGTCAGGGTGACAGAGTGAGATTCCAACTCAAAAATTAAAATAAAATTCAACATATTTTAATACATAGTCTTTCAAAATAATTTTGCTCTAGTCTATTCATTGGACTTCTAAGGTTCTGAATATATGAAAAGTCTGAATATATGAAATATATGAAAAGGAAGACAAACATGTAAACAGCTCTTGGTTTTTTCAAATAAATTAAATGTTTTTAGCAGATATTCATCATTTCCTTTGTTCTGGGACCTCCTGTGGATACAAAATCCTCAGAGGTTGCAGTCCCTTAAAGAAAATGGCATAGTATTTGCAGATAATCAATGTGCATCCTCTTGTATACTTCAGACCATCTCTAGACTACTTACAGTACCTAATGCAACATAAGTGCTATGTAAATAGCTGTGACACTGCATTTTTAAAATTTGTATTTTGATTTTTGTAGTACTATTTTTATTGTTTGTATTTTTTTCCTTTTTTTTTTTTTGAGTTGGAGTCTTACTCTGTTGCCAAGGCAGGATTGCGGTAGCATGCTCATGGCTGTCGCAGTCTCGACCTGCTGGGCTCAGGTAATTCTTCTGTCTCAGCCTTTCAAGTAGCTGGAACTACAGGCATATGCCACCACTCCCAGCTAATTTTTTGAAATATTGTAGAAATGAAGTGTTGCCAAGTTGCCCAGGCTCTTCTCGAACCCATGGGCTCAGGCAGTCCTTTCACCTCAGCCTCCCAAAGTTCTGGGATTATAGGCATGAGCCACCACGCCCAGCCTTTTCCAAATATTTTTTATCCACAGATGGTTGAATCTGCGGAGGTGGAATCCATGGATCTAGAGGGTCTAGCGTACAAGCAAACTTATTATGCTGTGGCAGATGAAACATTCAGTTAGACAGAGAGAAATAGAGAATTCACAAAGAAGGGGGCATTCAAGCTAGGACTGGAAAAGGAGAAGGATTTTGATAGATGGGAATAAATAATTAAATTAGAGAAAGGGTAGGCTGGGCGTGATGGCTCACACCTGTAATCCTAATACTTTGGAAGGCTGAGGTGGATGGATTGCTAGACCTAGGAGTTTGAATACAGTCTAGGCAACATAGCAAGACCTTGTCTCTAATTTAAAAAATAAAACATTTAAAAAGGAGAGAAAGGGTGAAATCATGAAAATATTCAGTGTTTTGATGAAATGTCAACAGTCTAGTGTGGCTGGACTTCTGTTGGAAGGATGTAGTGGAAAATGAAGTTGAAAAATAAGTTTGAAGCCGGGCTCAGTGGCTCAGCCTGTAATCCCACGCCTTCGGGAGGCTGAGGTGAGTGGATTGCCTGAGCCCGTAGGTTTGAGACCCGCCTGGGCAACTTGGCGAGACCTCATCTCTACAATAAATCAAAAATTAGCCGGGCGTGGTAGCGCACACCTGTAGTTCCAGCTACTCGGAAGGCTGAGGTGGAAGGATCGCCGGAGCCCAGCAGGTCGAGGCTGCAGTGGCCGGGAGCGGCCACTGCACTCCAGTCTGGGCGACAGAGTGAGACTCCAACTCAAAAAAAAAAAGAAAGAAAAATAAGTTTGAAAAAGAAAATGATGGAGGGCCTGGAATGTGATTCCATGAAATTTACACATTATTTTGTAGGCAGTGGGAATCCGCTGATGTTATTTTTTTCTACAATGTTTTGAGTTCATTTGAAAATAAAAAATAAAAGTATAAAAGCATTCATATCTATGGGGCTTTGTTTTCCAGTTTCCCTTCCAGTCCTTGCCTCTAGAAATGCGTAATTTTTATATAGTAAAGAGTTTTACATAGTCATTTGATTCTCTTTAAATGATTATTTCATGTTGCTGAACTTATTCCAGTGTTGTTGTATTTTAAAAATCATGCGCGCTTCCCCCCCTGTCTTTGGGAAGCTAACATGCTCAGTAAATTAAATATAGACAGGAAGAACTATTAGGAGACTCTTGTCATAAAGCTAGTGAAAAATAAAAGATTATGCCAAGTCAGCAGTAAGAACAGAGACAAACCAAGAAGAGGGTCAGACTTAACCTGAGCTCTCCTGAATTCCAGCTTAGAGTGCATTTCATCAAGCTTCCATTACTGATTATTTTTCCAGAAGCGTTATCATCAGTCAAATCATTTCAATTTCAGGTCACTTGTGATGGTGACAGTTTGAAATAATCCATCAATTTCTCTGCTTGTGTTCAAAACAGTATTTATCAAACCTCCAGTTCACCCCTTTAGCTAATTAACCTCTTTATATGAATCTTGCAATCATTGGCTAATTAGAACTTTCTTCCTTTTTCTGTATGTTTGTGAACATTCAGGGGAAGAATCAGGGATTTATGTGAAAAGTATAATACCCGGCAGTGCTGCATACCACAATGGCCACATTCAAGTGAATGACAAAATAGTTGCTGTAAGTAACTGCCTTGTTTCGGATTTGAATCAGGTTGAAAAAAAATGGTTGATCCTTATTGTAATATGTATGAGACGGGGGTGGCCTAATATAGTTTCATACAGTTTTTATAAAAATTTAAGTTTGCTAGTATGATGAAATTTCATTCATTTGGACCCTTAGTGGCTGTAAATTTGTTTTTTTTCCACTGTTAGTGAAGAAAGGATACACACACATACACACACACACACACACACACACTTAAAAGATGTTCTAGAATTCTCTCAGAAAACACTTTGAGTACCTCTTTGTGTTCTTTAAATTCCCCATTTTATATCCTATTATTAGGCCATTAATCAGCTCTTTTCATCTCTTTGTGAAAATAATTTTTCTACTAACAATAATGTTGAGTACATCCAAAAATGAAATATTTTTTGTATTTGAGAATATAATAATGACCTTTTATTAATTAAAACTGGTCTTTTCCCCATTTAGTAGAAATTAGTTAAATTTATATATGTGGATATGAATATATCTGTATACACATACATACATATAAGCCCATGCACATACACATAAGTTTACATAGAAACAAATGTTGAGTGGTATGATTTGAATCATTGTTCGTTGTGTCCATCTGAGGAAGCACATTTCACGACTCTTGACTTTTACCCCAATGGACTAAGAAAATGTCTTTTGGTGATTGGCAGGGGCCAGCAGTAGCAGTGGATGGTTTGAGAAAATTCTTATGGGGAAAGTATTTTGAAATACTTATGGCTAACTTAACGGAGGTTGAATGAGCAAGCCTACTGTTCCTGATAGACTTTAAAAATTGGGTAAGTTCGAGACCAGCCTAGGCATCGTATGGCAAGACCTCATCTTTACAAAGAATTAAAATTTAAAAAAATTAGCACACACTGTAGTCCCACTACTTGGGAGGCTAAGGTGTGGAAGGATCGCCTGAGCCCAGGAAATAGAGGCTGCAGTAAACTGTGATCATGCCACTGAACTTTTTAGCCTGGGTGACAAAGTGAGACTCTAACCCAAGAAAAAACAACAATAACAACAAAAAAAGAAAGAAAAAGGAAAAAGGACTTGACAAAGATTAAGAACACTTTTCTTGGTGGGGCAGGGCACACATAACATCAGTAAGGGCACCTGATTCCACACTGGGCAAAGTGAGGACCAATGGGAGGCCCAGACTTCACCTGTACAATGACCACGTATGTATCTAATTCTGAATTGTACTTCACATCTTTGAAATAAAATTATATGGGCCAGGCACAGTGGCTCACGCCTATAATCCCAGCACTTTGGGAAGCTGAGGTGAGAGGATTGCCTGAGCCCACGGGTTCAAGACCAGCCTGGGCAAGTTGGTGAGACCTCATCTCTACAATAAATAAAAAATTAGCCAAGCGTGGTGGCGCATGCCTGTAGTTCCAGCTACTTGGAAGGCTGAGGCAGAAGGATCTCCTGAGCCCAGCAGGTTGAGGCTGCGGTGGCTATGTGTGTGCTACTACACTCCACCTGAGCGACAGAGTGAGACTCCAACTCAAAAAAAGAAAAATTAAAATAAAATTATACATATATATACATACACACATGTTTCTTGCTTATAGTTTTTCAGAACATGAGAAGGCCTGATGGTGGGAGATCATTGTGTTTCTTGAAAATATTCCATGAGGCCAGGTGCGGTGGCTCAAGTCTGTAATCTCAGCACTTTGGGAGGCTGAGGCAAGAGGATTGCCTGAGCTCAGGGATTCGAGACCAGCCTGGGCAACTTGGCAAAACCTTGTCTCTACAGTAAATAAAAAAAATTAGCTGGGCATGGTAGCGTACATCTGTAGTTCCGGCTACTTGGAAGGTTGAGGGAGAAGGATTGCCTGAGTTCAGCAGGTCAAGGCTGCAGTGGCCGTGAGCATGCCACTGCACTCCAGCCTGGGCGACAGAGTGAGACCCTGACTCAAGAAAAAAAAAAGAAAGAAAGAAACGATCCCATGATGATATGAAAGGGGAATGAAGTATTAGATACTCTCTTCGTTTTGATAATGATGGCTTCTGTGAATACATCTTGAAAGCTATGTATGACAATTGACCATCTCTTATGATATTTTGAATTCTGAATAGCATCAGAGATTAAAACTCTTTACCTCTCTTGGGCTGCTGGTTAAAATGTGTGATTTAGGAATACAAGTTTTTTAATTTGCTTCCTAGTGTGTTAGGAAGTTTGTCAGCATGTTTTACAAGTTTTGCATTTCTGTTCAAAAACACTTTCTCAGGTCTAAATAAATTATCTTTTGGAATCAAGTGAATCGCCTCATTTTGGTCAGCCATGCCAGAATAAAAAAAGAGTAGCTAAGTTGAAACCTCTGTTTAATGCTTCTCTTGATGTTTCAGGTCGACGGTGTGAATATCGAGGGTTTTGCCAACCAGGATGTCATTGAAGTGTTACGGAATGCAGGCCAGGTGGTGCATCTCACTCTCGTCCGAAGGAAGCCATCGGTACCTGCTTCTTCACTAGCATGGCCTTCAGATGGAGGTAATGAATTCTTCCACTCCCCTCCCTGCCATGCAGGCTGGGTTTGGCTAGCTAAATTACAACTGAATTAGAACAGCTAAGTTATGGAAGTTGCTCCGTGAGTCTGAGTGGGAAAAAACTGCCTACCTTGTGCAGTGCAGTGAAGGAGAAATGAATCTGCTCATTTTGTGCAACGAAGAAGCAGTTCCTTTGCTTATTATAATGTGTTAGGCTGTCAACCCTGACTTGCATTAGGCTCTGAGAGCTCTTCTAAATGGAGATGGAAATCATTTTTACAAAAAACTTGCAATTTTTATTGATTACATATATTTGAATAATAAAACTTTGACACTTTTTGTTTCAGGGGTACTCCATTGTCTAATGCTTTGAGATTTTGCAGACTTTAGGTTTCATATTATCATTTTTTTAAATTTTAAAGACATGGGGGACAATTCAGGGTTAGGTATATAAATGTTTATGATGCAGGTACCCTTGTTGATGAGGTGTGCCTCTCCCTCCCTTGGAAGTTTCCCTCAGTTGCCAATACTTGTTTTTTTTTAGTCTTATTTTGTCACCCAGGCTGGAGTGCAGTGGCACGATCACAGTTTTGCGCAGCCTTGACCTCCTGGGCTCAGGTGATCTTTCTGCCTCAGCCTCTCGAGTAGCTATGATTACAGGCATGTACCACCATGCCTGGCTTACTCTTTTTTGTTTGTTTTTGTTTTTTTGTAGAGGAGAGTTCTTGCTATGTTGTCTATGCTGGTCTTGAACTCCTGGGCTCAGGCAGTACCCTTGCGTCAGCCTCTCAAAGTGCTGGGACTACAGGTATATGCCACCATGCCTGACTTGTTTTTGGTTTTTTGTAGAGACACAGTCTTGTTATGTTGCCTATGCTGGTCTTGAACTCCTGGGCTCAAGCATTCCCCTAGTCTCAGCCTCCCAAAGTGCTGGGATTTACAGGCATGAGCCACTGTGCCTGGCTATATTACTTTTAACACCATATTTTATTTTAATCTCCCTGGATTTACTTTTTGAAGTTGAGTGAGAGAAAATACAGATTTCTATCAAGAACATTTTTATTTTTAAAATAATATTCATTGTTAATTTGGTTATAAGAATAGTAAATCTTCTGGGCTCAGTGGCTCAGCCTGTAATCCCACGTCTTTGGGAGGCTGAGGTGAGTGGATTGCCTGAGCCCGCGGGTTTGAGACCCGCCTGGGCAACTTGGCGAGACCTCATCTCTACAATAAATCAAAAATTAGCCAGGCATGGTAGTGCATGCCTGTAATTCCGGCTACTCGGAAGGCTGAGGCGGAAGGATCACCGAAGCCCAGCAGGTTGAGGCTTCGGTGGCTGGGAGCGGCCACTGCCTTCCAGTCTGGGCGACAGAGTGAGACTCCAACTCAAAACAAAAAACAAAAAAGAGTAGTAAATCTTCATTGTGGAACAAATATGTAATTACGTGCATGTGAACTTTTAATTATTTACTTAGAAATGAATAGATCAGCGGGGGGTGGGATTGGCAGTTGAAGGAAACTACTAGGGGAGGGAGGGGTGTACCTCATCAACAAGGGTATCTGCATGATCAATGTTTGTATACCTAAACTTGAAATGTACCCCACATCTTTATAATAAAAATTAAGATAAAAAAAAAGAAATGTATATAGATCAACAAAAGTTGACAAGCGTGGGAACATATATTCAATTTATTATTATTATTATTATTGTTATTATTATTATTTTGAGTTGGAGCCTCACTCTGTCATCCAGGCTGGAGTGCAGTGGCATGCTCACCGCCACTGCAGCCTCGACCTACTGGGCTCAAGTAATCCTTCTGCCTCAGCCTTCCAAGTAGCTGGAACTACAGGCATGTGCCACCATGCCCAGCTAATTTTTTTATTTATTGGAGAGATGAGGTCTTGCCAAGTTGCCTGGGCTGGTTTCGAACCTGTAGGCTTAGGCAGTTCTCTCACCTTGGCCTCCTTAAGTGCTGGGATTATAGGCATGAGCCACAGCACCCAGCTGTATATTCAATTTAAAATGAGTGACTAGTTATACAACTAGTGAGTAAGGAATACTTCTATTAGAATCTGTAGGTAGATGAATACATTTTCCCCCCTTTGGAAGTATGCCTCTGAGGATATCATAAGCCTGGAAGTCCTTTGCTTTCATCTGATATTGATTTGTATTTAAATTGGAACATTTATGTTTTAAGTGATAGTGGAAATTTTGCTACTGAAAGACAGATGCCCTGTCAACTGCTTTGAATGTATGACATTTAAAATTGTCTAAATGGTACAAATTGTACAAATGCCATATTGACCTTAAAAGGTTTCCATAAATATTATATAAATATAATGGTTTTTAATAGCACTGATAGAGCCCTTGGCTTCAGTTTCTGATACCAAATGAATGCAGGCATGCCCAGTGTCTGTGGATTAGCAATTCTTTTTCTTTTTTTTGTTTTTTGAGTCAGAGTCTCACTCTGTTGCCCAGGCTGGAGGACAGTGGCACACTCCCAGCCACTGCAGCCTCAACCTGCTGGACTTAGGCCATCCTTCCACCTGTCTTCCAAGCAGCTGGAACTACAGGTGTGCACCATCACGCCTGGCTAATTTTTTGATTTATTGTAGAGATGAGGTCTCTCTAAGTTGCCCAGACTGGTCTTGAACCCGTGAGCTCAGGCAATCCTCTCGCCTTGGCTTCCCAAAGTGCAGGAATATAGGCATGAGCCACCGTACCTGGCCTGGACTAGCAACTCTTGACTGGGCTTGGCCACATTTTAAATGTGTGTTGGCATAAATTCCAATTCCAAATCTGTTCCCCTTCCTTCAGTGTTTGAGGTCCTTCTTCCATGCTGCACTAACACCTTTGGCAAAGCACTGTCCCGTACCATTTAGTACACTACATGACGACCACCTGTGTTATGTCTCTACCACCTGCCCCATGGCACACGTCTTTGCGTGCCTTGCATTCTGGCAGCATTTAGACGTCTGTTTCACTGAATCAAACTGCACAGCCTCGAGTTCTTGCACAATCCCTCCCTCTTCCATTTGCAATCTTGCTATCTTTTTCTCCTCTAAACTCCTCCTATTTGTTTATCTTGTGTGTGCTTACTAGTATACCTATTTGTATACTGTTTGTGGCATACAATCATGCTGCTTCGTACTGTAAACTCTGCTGGGTGTAACTGCTTCCCCCTGCTATGCTGGCGACTTTGGGTGGGCATTATTTTTTTATGGTGGAAAAGTACACACAACATGAAATCTACCCTCTGAACATTGTGTTAAGCGTTCAGTACAGTACAGTGTTGCTACTGTGTGCACATCATGGTACAGCAGCTCTCTACAGCTTCTTCATCTTGTGTGATTGAAACTTCATACTCATTAAACAGCTCCCTGCTTTGCCCCCCCCCCAGCCTCTGGTAGCCACTGTTCTGCTTTGTTTCTGTGAGTTTGGCTACTTACTTTGCATGTAAGTGGAATCAGGCAATCTTTGTCCTTTTGTGACTGGCTTGTTTCATTTTGTGTAATGTCCGTATCATGTCATAGGATTTCCTTCCTTTTTAAGATGAAATAATATTCTGCCATTTGTATGTACCACATTTAAAAAATCTATCTATTCTTTTTTTTTTTTTTTTTTTTTGAGTGGGAGTCTCACTCTGTCGCCCAGGCTGGAGTGCGGGGACACGCTCACAACCACCGCAGCCTTGACCTGTTGGGCTCAGGTTATCCTGCCTCAGGCTTCCAAGTAGCTGGAACTACAGACACACGCCACCATACTCAGCTAATTTTTTGAAAAATCCATCTATTCTAACATTCACTTAGATTTCCACTTCTTGGTTATTTTGAATAATGCTGTAATGAGTAGTTGGCATTTCTTTTTTTTTTTTGAGTTGGAGTCTCACTCTACTGCCCAGGCTGGAGTGCAGTGGCATGTTCAAAGCCACTGCAGCCTCAACCTACTGGGCTCAGGTGATCCTTCCACCTCACGCTTTCAAGCAGCTGGAACTACAGGCACATGCCATCATGCCCAGCTAATTTTTTGATTTACTATAGGCTGGGATTATAGACTTTAGCCACCACGCTCAGTGGCATTCCTTGTTCTAGCACCAGGCTGTACTTTTGTGGATATCAATGGATTAATGGTCTAAAAACATCCTGTGTGGTTTAAAGTGTCATGTTAAGATCATAGGAACCCTTAAATCAATAACTTTTTATTGTAAAAAAATTTTAAGCATACAGAATAAATGACAAATAATGTAATTAGCACCCACAGACCTGCCGTGGTAGATCCAGTAGTTAACATTTTGCCATCTGTTTATCTTTTTTCTGAACCATTTCAGAGTGAGTGGTAGACATCATGATACTTCCAGAGTATAGCTATAAAAATAAGGATGCTCTCTTATATAACAATAATAACATTATCACACCAAAGAAAATTAATAGTAACTCCCTAATATCAGCTACCCAATGTGTTTAAAATCTCACAGTTACTCCAAAATTTTTTTGTCCCATTTCCCCAACACCTTCTGCGAAAACAAACAAAAACCCAAAGCCAAGACCCAGTCATACATGACATTTATTGCATTTGTGATGTCTCTGGTTTTTTAATCTAGAAGAGTTCCCCACCAGACCCCATGGCATAGACTTTTTGAAACAACTAGTTCGTGTGTCACTAGAATGTTACAGTTTGAATTTGTTATCTTGTGGTGTCATTTAAATTGTTTTTTTACACACCCTGTTTCCTTCAAGTTAGAAGCTAGATCTAAAGTCTTAGTTGTGTTTAGGTTAATTATTTTTATAAGAATACTTGATAAGTGAAATGTGATTTAAAAAATAATGTTAAATGACTTCTTATGTTAAGAGATACAGAGTGACTTGCATGGGTGAGATTGAAAACTTTAGGTAACTACTATTATTTTACTTAGCTCAGTTTAGCTAAGGGAGGAATATGCACTCAGAATTCTCTCCAGTTCCCTTCCAATTAATAAGGTTACCTGTGTAGACTTGTGTGGCATCCTCAGATGATGCCATGCCAGAACTGAGCAGTAGGCCTAGAGCAATTGGTCCAGCTCACTCTGTAAGTCTTGCTTCCCGCCCATTACAGCTGCCAAGAACTTAAGACCTTTGCATGTTTTTCTTTCCCAAGGCTATGTTGAAAAGCAGCTAACCCTTTGCTTTGTCATTGACTTTAGCTGCTTTTCTCTTCCCATTGTCTAATTCCTTATTCTTGTCAATACTATCAAGTTTATTTTTATTTTTATTTATTTTTTAAAAATTTATTTATTTATTATAAAGATGTGGGGTACAATTCAGTGTTAGGTATACAAACATTGATATTTTTGAAGGATTGATTGGTCATCTATTTACACGTGGCATTTTAGGTTAACGGAATCATATGCGCAAATTACCTCGGATTTGTAATAAGTTTGTGAAATGGGAGAACAGGAGTGAAATAAACTCTCTTAAACCTAGTCCTCAGTTACTAGTGATTCAAGTTAGCTTTTTTTTTTTTTTTTTTTTAGAAACCGTTGAACCACCACAAACACCAGCTCTCTTTCTATCTGGAGCAGTGGAAACAGAAACTAATTTAGATTGTGAAGATGAAGAAACTGAAGAAAGTATGGATAATCTAAAAAATGAGAACATACAAGCCTTAGAAAAATTGGGTAGGCACCAAGCATTCACTATGGAGTAATTGGACTTTCTCATTTGTTAACTGCATTTTGGAGATATAAAAATATGGTATTCTCTTTTGAAAAAATTTATTATTATTATTATTCTTTAGAGAAGGAGTCTAGCTATGTTGCCCAGGCTGGTCGCGAACTCCTGGCTTCAAGTGATCCTCCCATCTTGATTTCCCAAAGTGCTGGAATTATAGGCATGAGCCACTGCGTTGGCCCAAATAGGGTATTTTTAATATCAACATCTTAAGAACTTGTGGAAGTTGGGGACCAAGCATATTCTATTTAAATTTTTGTTTAGTTATATTTAGTCCAAATCTCACTCTGTTGCCTAGCCTGGAGTACAGTGGCATGCTCATGGTTACCACAGCCTCAGGTTGCTGGGTGCAGGCAGTCTTTCTGCCTCAGTCTTGCAAGTAGCTGGAACTACAGGTGCACACCACCAAGGCTGGCTAATTTTCTTTTTTTTGTTGTTGTTGTAAATTTAGTGTAGAGACAAGGTCTTGCCAAGTTGTCCAGGCTGGTCTCCAACTTGTGGGCTGAGGCAGTCCTCTCGCCTCTGCCTCCCAAAGTGCTGGGATTAAAGACGTGAGCCACTGTACCTGGGTTTAGTATTTTTAATTACTACATTCTTTAGTTTTTATATTATATTGATTATATCTATAGAGCGTAGCTATCTGTATACTTATAGCAGTGTTTGCTCTTCATCATAGAAATTAATAATGTATATATTTTATAAATTGCCTCAAATTGCCAGGCTGTTACTCATTTATTCTTTAGTTTTTTTTTCAAGTTGACTTGTAACTTTGCCTTTTTACTTTGTACTCTGATACCTCAGCTATTATAATGGACTTTATTCTGAGAGCATATTGAGTAACGGTCTCACGCAGTTCACTGCACAGAGGCACTCAGCAAAGCCTTGCCAGCTAATGAAACTTCTTGCGGCACTTATACCATCCATGGTCCAGTGGAGTTTGGCTTTTGACTTTGTTTTGTCCCAGGAAAGAGTAGCTGGAAGGAGGGAGTAAACCCCTTATTCAGGTTAAAAAAAAAGTGTTCCATGATTTACCTTGTTCTTTTTGACCCAAGTCGATTACAATTGATTTTATTTTATTTTTTGAGTCAGAATCTCACTCTGTCACCCAGGCTGGAGGACAGTGGCATGCTCATGGCCACCGCAGCCTCCACCTGCTGGGCCCAGGTGATCCTTCCGCCTCAGTCTTCCAAGTAGCTGGAACTACAGGCATGTGCGAACACACTTGGCTAATTTTTTGATTTATTATAGAGAAGAGGTTTTGCCAAGTTGCTCATGCTGGCTTTGAACCTTTAATATGAGGCAATCCTCTCACCTCAGCCTCCCAAAGTGCTGGGATTGCAGGCATGAGCCATTGTGCCCAGCTGATTACAATTTTTTTTTCCTATTTTAACTCAGTTGCACTCAGATAGATTTTCAGTGAAATATAAGGTAAAAATCAAATGTATTCTGTAGGTAGAAATCATTTTGAAATATTTTATCTGTGCTTTTGGATCAGTTTAACTGCATTTTTTCTGTTTCCATATGTGTAATTTCAGACTGACAGTAAAACCAGACTTTTAACTGCTATGGAGTTAACTCTCTTTTTTGCCTTTGAATAAGTATTTCAGATTGTCAAGTTATTCATTTTTTTGATCATGTAGTGTAGCCTAGGATTTATTGAGCTGCTGAGTAGAAATCTCCTTCCTCTGGCACTTAGGCATTTGTGCTGTGCTTTTAAAACTCACAACTGTCTGTGTTTTTGTTGTACAACTGAAAGGTAAAAATATAGTCAAAAGAATTGTTGATGAAATGTCAACATTATTATACATGTATATGAACTACCATCCGAGTACCATGTCTTTAAATATAGAACTCAATGAATACATTGCAAATTTTCTGGCTTTTTGTTTTTGAGTTAGAGTCTCACTCTGTCGCCCAGGCTGGAGGGCAGCGGCACGCTCCCGGCCACCGCAGCCTTGACCTGCAGTTCTCTGGCGATCCTTCCACCTCAGCCTTCCAAGTAGCTGGAACTACAGGCATGCGCCATCATGCCTGGCTAGTTTTTTATTTATTGTAGAGATGAGGTCTTGCCAAGTTGACAAGGCCGGTCTCAAACCCAGGGGCTCAGGCAGTCCTCTCACCTCGGCCTCCCAAAGTGCTGGGATTATAGGCATAAGCCACCACGCCCAGCCTACATTGCAAATTTTCTTCAGATTTGTTTAACAGATAAGAAAATGCTGCTTGGAAGAAATTTAACAGGCAAGATGTTAGAACTCTTAATGTAAGCAGGGCGCAGTGGCTCACACCCATAATCCCAGCACTTTGGGAGGCTGAGGTGAGAGGATTGCCTGAGCCCATGGGTTGGATACCAGCTTGTGCAACTTAGTGAGACCTCATGTCTAAAATTAAAAAAAAAAAAAATTGGCCCAGCACGATGGCGTGTGGCTGTAGTTCCAGCTACTTGGAAGGCTAAGGTGGAAGGATTGCCTGAGCCCAGTAGGTTGAGGCTGTGGTGGCCATCAGCGTGCTAATGCACTCCAGCCTGGGTGACAGAGTGAGACTCCAACTCAAAAAAAAAAAAGAACTCTTAATGTAATTTCTTAAGGAAATATTAACAGAAACAGGCACAAAGGTGCAGTGCCCAAGTGAATTTGATGTTTGTTTTTAATCGGATCTTTGGTTGGTTATCCCCTAAATGTAATCTAGCATATCGGTTAGTAGTTATTTCATGGATGTTCTATTGTAAATCTAGTAATTTAAGTTCTCTAGTGTCCATTAGTCTCTGATTTCTGAGGTTAGCCTGTTTCGCTTAATGATTTGTGTTTTATAATTAAGCATTATATGTATCCAAGATGAGCTGTCCCTTCTGAAGACTCAAAGAGCTGATAATGCAGTCTGTTTAATCCTAGGCAGATGGTTATGTCAGTTGTGATAAGTGTTCTGTGACTTGTCCAATCTTAAGACAAAATTGAGAGAGTTTTTTAAGTTAAGAAAGATGGAAGTTTGTTCACTTTCTGCTACTGCAATGGATGTAAGATGCAATTACAGTTTTAGTACTTTGACTTTTGCCTATTAGACATTATTCATGCTATAAACTGTGCGCTGAACTGGATAAGATCCTGTGGAGGACAGGCAAGACACTTAAAATCTGCTTTAGTTCTTTAAAATTATCTATCTATGCAACAAAGGCAATATTACCCTCAAGTAAGAAAAGTCATAAAGATATAAATATCCTAATAACTAAGTAACACCAAAAGACTGGTGTAAAACCAAAGTTGTCTTAAACCTCATGGAACTGGTCCAATTAAACCAGAAAAGCCTTTAGCTACCCATGTGAAAAGTCTGATTGTGTTATATTGATGTGTCTTGTTGATAGTAAAGATACCTTGATAAGGTTGTACTTTTCCACTGGGGGGTTGGAATGGTACTACTTCGATGTGATTAGCATTTAAATTAAATCCTTTTATGCCCTAATATGTTATAAAGCAAAACCAGATGCATTTTACTTGTAAACTATAGGAAGTTTGCATATATACTGTGTATATTTTACATTTCATTTATAACTTATTATTTCCTATTCTCTTTAAAATGTTCCTTAACAACAAGAGTTCCTTCATCATTTGGTCACAGCTGGTCTTTACATTTTCCATTAACCTTATAAGTCACCTCTGATTTACTTTACCTAGCAGACCTGAGTTAATATTTTTTCCTTTTTATTCATTTCCCTGTTACTTACTGAGACTGTGCTGTTATTGAAGAATTTAGTAGTTAAGTGTGTTTGGCTCACAGTAGCTTCAACATTCGTTTTTATTTCTTTCTTCCTTTTTTGTTTTTTTTTTTAAATCCAGAAAGAGCCCCAGACTTTCCAGAAAATGAGCTGAAATCCAGATGGGAAAACCTATTGGGTCCCGATTATGAAGTAATGGTATGTTAAAATGCTCTAATAAAAAGCATTCATGTCTCATTTCATGCCAAGCCCCTAACACTACAATTTAAAGAATTAGAAGAGTCAAAGAAGAGCCAGTCTGCCTTTATTTTTCCTTCCTGCTTTTCTTCCCTATCAGATCAATCGATCTTTTTAAAGCATTTTAAGCTGTAAGAATAATTAAAGACTGCACACAAGCCTCAGTTACAATTAGTAGACACTCAGTTCATGTTGAAACCATTTAAGTCAACAAAAGGCAGAAAAACGTTAGGCGAGAGAGGGCTTGCCTCTAAATTTATAACCTGCATCAGCTGCTTAAAATTGCTGGCATTTTTATGATTGCTTTTATGATCTGTTTGTTTTATTGTACACTGAAAGAGCTGTGGATATTAGTCCTATGTTTCACAAAGAATCTTACAGTTTTATGTGAAAAATGAAAGAATGATTATCAAATGTATTTGGAAGAACAGGAAGTAATTTCGGTTAGGTATAAGTTTATAGTGCCAGTGGTCCATTAGACTACCCTTCACCTGCTATTAGATTCATTGAGTAAGGGATTGATTACACTTCCCTGTATGAATCCACATGAAAACAGAAGGCTGTGCTTAGAAAAACCTCTACAGTATTCACCAAATGCATTAGTAATCGAGTATTCCTTATATTTCTATTATCATTCACATTTTCTTACATATGTTTATCATTAGTGCTTGTTGGCTGGTTGGAATTTTTTTTTTTTTCTTCTTCTTGGTTTAGAATTTCCAGCCACTATCTTTTCTCAGAAAATTTCCAGCATCATTATGATGAGTCAAAACAGTTCATATTTTCTCTTCACGGTCAGTAAATTTGTGCTTACATGTCAGATTTCATAAACTGCTGCTTCTCTACTTCAGAGCTTTCCAACACTCTTCGTGGGCTACCACCTAGCAAATAACCTTTCCTACTAACCTTAGTGGTTTAATGTGCAAAGTCATTTGGTGTTCCATTATTTTCAAATGACCCGTTTTGTGATTGGCTCCTTTTTGTTAAAATTTTTATCTCCCTTATCATCCTTTTAAATACCATGTATCACATGGTGAGGTCACAGCAGAGAGGCTAGAAAGAGGAGACAGAATTTGAGGCTGGAATTTTAAAGTGACAACGTATTCATGAAAAGGTGTAGCTTGTTGTTCTGAGGCGCGAAGGAAGCGAAGGGAAGAACGAAGAAGCCAGGCATGATGCGTGGATGAATGCATGCACGTACTCCAATGTTCCTTATTTTACTTTCTTCCAGGATCAGCTTATCTGAAATGCGGTACTTTTAGAAACTGTAGTTGGGTCATTGGTTAACTGATCCCTTCCCTCCAGATGCACCAGATTTTATTAACAACTTACAGATGTAAATCATCAGTAAAGTACTCTTGCTTACAAGGAATTCACTTCTGTGGATATCCACCATTGAAGCTTACAACAATAGTTTTAGGCCAGGATTAAACGCTTTAAGTATTCCATGAACTTCCCACCAGGGACCAGGTCTATCTGTTTGTGTCTTGGCCAGCCATTTCTCCTGAGGAGATGGTTTGAGCTTGTTGTGGAAAGTCAGATGCTTTAGTTTTTCCCCAGTTCTTCTGACTTTACTGACTTTGCAAATTTTGTTTTGAGACCTGGGATTTGAAAGTAAAAATGGCCATTTTCTTGGTTTTGTCAGAAGAGTAATTTTTTTTTTTGAGTTGTAGTTTCACTCTGTCGCCCAAGCTGGAGTGTAGTGGCATGCTCATGGCCACTGCAGCCTCGACCTGCTGGGTTCAGGTGATCCTTCCACCTCAGCCTTCCAAGTAGCTGGAACTACAGGCACATGCCACCATGCCCGGCTCATTTTTTGATTTATTGTAGAGATGTGGTCTCACCATGTTGCCCAGACTGGTCTCGAATTCGTGGGCTCTGGCAATCCTCTCACCTTGGTTTCCCAAAATGCTGGGATTATAGGTGTGAGCCACTGTGCCCTGCCTAAAAGAGTGAAATCTTTATGCATTCAACATAATGGAGGATTATATTAAAATTTTAAGGATCATGGATTTCTAAAGACAGTGTATATATTTGCCTATTACTTTCTGTTCAACTTTGGGTAATTTAGGGAAAAAATGTTGATGTGGAGAACAACACCAAAAAAGCAAATATACTCCGAAATTTTACATTATGTGTTAAACTTATAGATTTCAAAAATAGAGAAGAGATTAGTATCAAATAGAGTTATCAGTATATAGGTTTTACAGATATTTTCAGAAAATGTAGCAAAAAATAAAGTTATGCTTTTACAAAAATTGGAAATATTTTTCTTGCAAATTTAGGTTGCAACCTTGGATACACAGATTGTAGATGATGCTGAATTACAGAAGTATTCAAAGGTAAGCTTTTTTTTTTTTTAAAGTTAGCAGTTTTTTATTGTTTGAAGAACTTTCTCTAAATTCTTGCTGTGACCTAAAGTTTCCAGAAGTTAGTCTTAGATGTTTTCTGGAATTGTGGTGGATCTTACTGTTAAGAAGGATTGTTAGATATGCTTGGAAAGAATATGACATCCCCACTTCCAGAAACTGAAAACCCACATTTGATTCTCTTGCCCACTTTAAAGAGGTAGCATGCAGAATGTTAGCTTTTCAGGCATTCTAAGAAGTCCTTTCAGAAATGTCTCCTAGACATCAAGACCAGGAATATAGATGTTGAAAAAACCATCAGCAGCTGGGCTCAGTGGCTCAAGCCTGTAATCCCAGCACTTTGGGAGGCAGAGATGAGAGGATTCCCTGAGCTCAAGGGTTCAAGACCAGCCTGAGCAACATGGCAAGACCTTGTCTCTACAATAAATCAAAAAATCAGCTGGGTATGGTAGCACATGCCTGTGGTTCTAGTTACTTGGAAGACTGAGGCGGAAGGATCACCTGAGCCCAGGAGGTCGAGGCTGCGGTAGTCATGATCATGCCACTGCACTCCAGCCTGGGCGACAGAGTAAGACTCCAACTCAAAAAAAAAACAAACAAAAAAAAACAAAAGAAAAAGAAAAAGCCATCCGGACTTAGAGTCTATCATACTGAGCGATCTGTCACAGAAACAAAGAACTAAGTATCACATGTTCTCACTCATAAGCGGACCCTTGAACAATTATCATAATACTGTAAGAAAAGGATTGGCAAGGAAACTGCCGGTGGGAGGAGGCGGGGGTGTGTGTGGGGGGGAGGAGGATTGGCAGTAGTGGGATTCTGCCAAGGAGGGGGCACACCTCATCAACAAGGGTACCTGCATAATGAATATTTGTATGCCTAACTCTGAATTGTACCCATCTTTAAAATTAAAAAAATTAAAAATAGAAAAATAAATATAAATACATAAAAAAGAAAAAGCCATCAGGAGGATTGCTTGAGACCAGGAGTTCAAAACCAGCGTGGGCAATAGAGTAAAAAATAAAAAAAATTAGTTGGGCCTGGTGGTGTGTGCCAGCAGTGCCAGCCACTTGGGAGGATTTTCTGAGCTGAGGAGGTCAAGGCTGCATTGAGCTGTGGTCATACCACTGCCCTCTAATCTGGGAGACAGAGTGAAACCTGAATAAAAAAAAAAAAGCCATCATATGTTCAAGGACAGAAAAATGGTTTATCTTCTGAGTATTGGCAGTGGTTGTTGTTGAATTTAAAACATTTGTGGTAAGCTTTATTTCTTTTTTTTTTGAGTTGGAGTCTCACTCTGTCGCCCAGACTGGAGTGCAGTGGCCACTCCCGGCCACCGCAGCCTCGACC